GTGTAATCTAGCCCCTCTCCCTCCCTTTGACTGAAATTTAGATAGAATACACTTTTTGTAGGTGTCTTTGCTGTACGCTGTTGTAAATCCATGATGATTAGGTTGTGTTGAACTACTACAGTGGTGGTAGCAGGTTTGGTGTACTTAGAGCTGTGTTTGGCAAGTTCTTGTTAGCTCTTTAGGTTCACCAAAAGACAATGAATTAAACAACCAGTTTTTACTTTATAAAGAAATTCAAGAGCCTTTACAGACACGACTCTCTGAAAATAGCCAACTTCATATCTTCATCTCCTTAGGTGATAGTTGCTGTTGGTGTGTGTAATTGGTCACAACAGATAGTATAGTTGTAATTATAGTAAGTTTTGTCACCAGTCTTTGAGAGTGTTTTCCCTTATGTTGTTTATGATTGAAAGCTTATGACTTTTATATGGACAGCTTTAAAACAAATGTGGGTTTTCTTGTTCTACTTGTATATTATGTGCCTTTTCAAAAGAAATGTATTGACAACAGAGTATAGTAGACAGGTAGTTAACTGATGTAAAATTTTGTACAGTGCTTACGAAAATACTGGTGAGTTTTTAGCTAGTACAAATTATGAGACTGTAGAGTGAAGGAGGTGACTGGTGTGGGAAGAGGGGTGGATGGTTTCCTTTTGGGACTTTGAGTTGCTTCCCACAGTGCCTTGGTTTCTACCAGTAGGTCTTGCATATGTGAACACAAGTTGGTAATCAACTAGATAAGAATCTTTTCTAGTTACATGGGGCAGTTGCAGAACTAGATGTTAGAGTAACGCTTTGCCTCTAGACAAAAACAGTTAATGAATGCTGTTTAGAATAATAATAATAGAGTAATAACAATGACGTGAACCTGCTTATTTGGAAAAGCAGAAGCTGAAGTGATGTTTCCCAGGATAATTTGTTTGGACAGGCTAATTCTTCATATTTTCGTACAGAAGCTTAATTTTAAACTGTGAGCTGAGGTGGTAACAGCAGAAAGAAAATACACATCTTTTCATACTTCATTTGAGCATGTTTTTATACAAATTTTCTTGTTTCTTTCACTGCCATCAGCTCTTTCACAGATTTTGTTAATAATTTAGCAAGAGACAGAAACTTGAAAAAGTCCCAGTGATGCAAATGAGTTTTTTCTCTGAAGGGGAATATTAAGATTATAGATTTGCCCCAGTTGTGTTTGACTTGGGAAAACTCTCCAGCTGAAGGCCTGCATGGTAGCTTTATCTTATGACAGTGAAGTTTAGAAGACATTTTGGGAAAATATAAGGCCAGTATCAAACATCAAGCTGTAAAGAAATAAATGTAAGCTTTTATCCTGGTTTCATAATGCTACTGTCTAATCCAAAGTACCCGGATTGATGCCAGTTGTATTTTGGCCCAACTACCAAGGACTACTTTGTTTTTGGATTTCACTAAGTAAGGCTGTAGTAACTGCTTTGGAGAAGAAAAAAAATCTTGCAGTTAACCTTCCAGGGGCCTAAGACCAGCAAACTAATTTTTTTCCCCAGATGTATTAGGACAAGAGTTGTGTGTGTACGAATCTGTGTGTTTCTGTGATACCAGTGACTTCTTTGAGTACATTTTCACAGCCCCTCTCACAGCTTCTTGTCTCCTTATTGACAACCATTAACTTTCAGTTATGATTTAACCCAAACAACTGTTTCACCCTAGGGTGCTAAAGAAGGGTTTGCTTTTCCTGGTGGGACCATAAGCTTGAGGCTGGAGTCTCAAAACGCTGCAGCTTGAGATAGTGAGGTAGTGCTCCTCCAGAACATGGGCTCCTGATTACATCATCTCAGCAGGAGTGACTGTGAATGTGTTTTGAGAGACACAAGTTTCAGTATCCTTGTTGCTATGGTTTGAGTTTTCCATAACAATTGGAAATGGTTTTTGTTGTGGCCCTTGTATGGTCCTGGGTGTCAGTAAGAAGGTTGTTTGTTATCTGTTATCAAACTGCTTCGCTCTCATGTGAGAGTTGGATTTAAATTCTTTACTTGGAGAGTAGGAGGAGTTGTCTTTGATATTCTAGTGGGTTTTTTTTAGTCTTTTGTCACTAACTGGTTACTGAACATACTTGCAGAGAAAGGGCTGCGGGATTTTTAAAAAAAATTGTAGACAGAATTCTTCCTTTGAATTCACTGTTTTTCTAGCTTGCTTTGCTTCTTCAAAAGATGGGAAGCCTCTTAATGTTTCATGTGTTGTATTTGCTTACCTCCAAGCATTGTTTCTTTTTTCTCTGCACAATTTTGCAGCCTGTTTTTTTTTTTTTTTTTTCATCTTTTGGTCTGAATGAGACTATTATCCAATTAACTAAACACTTTGGTAATATAGTGCATTGATGGAAGTGGAAGGGCTCACAGAGGTGCATGTAGAGAATGAAATTTAAGGACCGTTATGATTTAGTTGGTCTGATTCTCAAAGTGCTGAAGGAGTAGTGACAACCTCTTAAGAAATCTGTTCTCTTCTGGATTTGGGCCATTCTTTTGCAGGCAGATAAGCACGTTTGATGTTCAATCTGTAAATATAAAAAAATCTAAGGCATTTAAGATAACTGACAAAAAGCTCATGGCAACAACCACCCACAATATTTCCAAGTAAAGAATCAGTTAAGTGAATCAGTAATGCAATAGCATGAAAAATGTGGGCCAATATTTTCAGTGGTAATAATTCTGAAGCAGTTGGCATCTTTGACATCTGATGGGTTAACCTTTGTGCTGTGCCAGTGTATTTGTGCAACTGTGTATTGAATTGCACAAAGGGATGGAGCTAGTTGAAAACTTCCCTCCAAAAAAGACAAAAGTGTTTTGTTCCTTTGTTTTTCACTCCAATCACCCAATAGCCTTACTAAGACATAGTTCAGGTGACTGATTGAAGTGCATTTGTGACTGCAAAGTTTTGTTTGAACTTTGCTCTGTTTCCTTTTGACATCTTTAGACAAGCAGTGAGTTCTTCTTTTGCCATATATAGTTTTGGTCATTTTATCCTGGCACGCCTCTTCAGAACTGATTTGGTAGTGAACAAATACTGTAGTGAGTCCTGTGAGAGCAATCAGATTTTCCAGAGCGGTGGTTGGAAGCTTGTTGGCTGGGAATTGATTAGTAGGTAAATATCTACAACACCCTTGAAATATGACAGAATCGAGTTTCTGAATTGATTGGAAGTGATGGTCAGATCACTCCATCACTGATTCACTTGCTTAGGAATATTTAAAGCAGGGGATCCAAAAGGTGTTGAAACATTGTAAAAATAACATACCCCATACAGGGAGCAGTGTACAGGCTCATCAGACCTCAGCTCTCTTATCCATGTGTATGTCACAATGGGAGAAAAAGAGAAAGTGTCACCCAGAATTCTTGTCAAATCCAGGTGATTGTGATGAGTGTTGAGTTTATCTATTTTGTTGTTGTGACACTCATGCCGTTTAGATCTTGCAGAACAAGTTAAATCAAAATTCACCAAAGTATCCTTTCACTTGAGAGTCTTTTCCAGATGTGGGTGAACTATGAGATGCTGACTTGAGACTTCTTAGATATTGAAGTGGCTGTTTATGGGTTTCACTAGCAATGTCTGAATCCGGATCTTGTTTTGTTAGTATTTTGGATTACAGTTGTCATCTGTTTTGCTTTTCTATTCCTGTTCGTTCTCTACATGTTAGTAAGTGAAGATAACTTCAGTTCCCTCCCACTCAGCACTGTCCAGGGACAGCTTTCAGCCCTGAAATACGGAATGTATCTCGTGCTGTCATGTTATGGGAGGTTTTTAATGGCAAGTAATTTGTTAGGGAAAAAGCTTAAATTCCATAAATCTGAAGTGTAACTATGACATTTTGTCTGCATTATTTTTGTGAGGGAATCAGAGCGTTAGCACTTTTTTGGTAATGCTTTAAACAGAATGCAATCTTTTTTGGTATGTCTAGAAAAGGCCCGGGAGACACTGAGTGACTAAGAGGTAACTCCAGAAAACAGCTGTTCTCTCCCTGCTCTGGTGGCCAGTTGTTTTTACCCGCATCTTATCTGAATAGGCTGAAGTACCTCAATGGGAGTAAATATCCTGAGAATCAGATATGTAGACTGACTAATCTGAGGCAGGGCTATGTGTTGCTTTGCTTAGTAAATCTGCAGGTTCCTTAATACAATGTCAAAATTTGACTGTAGTGTAAAAAGTCTGTTTACCGAGTGTAATGGTTATTTTCAGCAAAGTTTTATTGAGAGAAAGATACTTCAGGTGACTTCTGTGAATGAAGACACTGTCTTAATAGGCTTAACGAGAAGGGCCTAATTTACTTCAATCATTTACAAAATATTTTTATTTGAACTCTTAAAAATAAAGGCTGAGGAAGTTTTTAGAATTTGTGTACTTCGAAAATACGAGGGTTTTAAAATTGTTACAAAATTTGATAGAAGTTGTAAAAATTACAAACTTTTTTTTTTTAAAAAGGTAAAATATTTTCAGACCTGCTGCATTTGTCCCAGTGTTATATGTTTACTTTTTGGAAGTTTAGAAGTAGCAGGTTTTAGTGTTTATAAGTAGAGCTGTGTAGCTACTGCTGGTAACTGATAAATGTCTCCTTAATATTTTCTAATGCTGTGCTGGTAATATTAAGCAGATGATATCTAAGTGGGTCTTGCATTTTTTTTCCCCAAAGACCTTTGGTGCAAAAATGATAGGGTATTTTTCTGTTTGTGTGTTTGATACTATGTTTTACCAGATTTTCAGAGCAGAGCTATAAACTAAGGGAGTGTTTCCCTTATTACACTTGGTGACTGGAAGCGCAGAGTGGCTGCCTTGTTAAAGTGATAGCAAACCTGGGAACAGACATTCATGTATTTGATTTCAAGTTGAGCAAAATAACCATCTAAAATGCCTATCTTGCCTTTTTTTTTTTTTTTTTTTCCTTAATTTCTCAGATGAGGTAGATTGGGGAATCGGACAATCGTGATGTACTTAAATGCTAATGAAACCATATTCTTTCTTATCTTTCTTTAGCGCTGTGTGGTGCTGCGGTTTTTGAAGTCCCCCCCCAACCAGAATAAGGTAAGATTCAACATGTGCTGTTGATAAAAGCCCCCAGGTAAGCTAATAACCAGTCTGAGGAGAAACAGGAAACCTGTGAAAGATTTGTGACTGATAGGAGTAAGAATGAGGGGATGTTTTGAAACGTGCCTGTGTTTCAGGAGTTTTGGCAACAGGGAGGAAATTTGAGGTCCTCTTGCGTAACTAAGATTATGTGACTGCTGATATCAAGACCTCTGTGCTGGACATTGTCAGACTGCAATGCGTAGAAGGTATGGCTCTGTAAGGATAGCTGTGACAACACAGAACATGTTAATGTTGCATACCAACATAGGAGAGAGTGGTGATGCTGAGGAGGAAACGACAGTTTTACTGACTGCTGCTAGGTGGGACAGAAGAGGAACAGCACAAGAGTGGCATCATGATAAAGGTCTGCTGTTGACTACCTATTCAGTAGCTAAAAAGCCATGGAACTGGGACAAAAATATGTAATATTCACAGAATAGCCTTTGTCAACGGGTGATTTGAGTGTGCTGTCAGTTGAAAAAAGAACATGGCAGGACAGACACTTCCAGTTTCTTAGACTATGGCAGAAGATTTTTCTGCTCAAGAAGGAACTGAAACAATTTACCTTATATTTGCTTTAATAGGGATAAAAAATGATAGAGAACCAAAGGTGGAGGGCAAAAGTGAAGTGCACAGTGCTCCAAGGAAAAAAAAAAGAGAGCCCAAGAGGCAGGAGGTTCAAATTCTGCCATTTCCTCAACCTCACGAGTAGTGTTTAGTGTGTGTTACCCGAGAGGTGCAGGGAATGGCTTGAGTTACAGCAGCTTCTGAGCCATGGCTTTGTAAGGTTCAGTGACAGACTGTTCTCATGACGAAGAAATACAAAAAGCATTACAGCTATACTGAGAGCTGGTGGAGGGAGTGCTTAATTTTAGGAAAAAAGGACCAAGGATGAATGTAAAGTAAGTATATAGGAAGGGCATTTTGTTTTTTATCAAGAAGATGAATGTGAAATGCGTTCAGTTTAACAAGGGACAAAAGAGAAGTTTCTAACGTAGATTAGAGGAAAGCAGAGGAAGGTAAAACCCATGAATGCAGTGTACCTATGAGTATTGATGGCCTTTTTGCTACTATTTTACTTGAAAAAAGAAGTCTGGTAAAACTAAAGTATGATTCAAATAAGTTTTTAATCTGCTTATAATGGCAGGGTTTCAAAAATGTATCCTGTGCTTCTGTAGTAGTTCAAGATAATGTTCAGAGTTTTTACAAGAAAAGGGGAGAACCCAGTGGATTGGAAGAAAGAAAACCAGTGCCTATCTCAATTTTCAGTATATCAGGGGAGAATTAGACCACAAGTTTAAGTAAAAAGTCAGTCTGTTGCCATTTATTTAAGAAAACAAAACACTGAGCACCAGCTTTTTTCCTTTTTTTTTTTTTTTTAAAAAAAAAAAAGTCTGAAGAGATTGTTCCATAGTAGTTATTTTTAAAAAATTGACAAAGTATGACACAGTTGCAAAGGAAGCCAGGAAGTGACTTTTCAGTTACCCACCACAGTGTTGAAGTTGATAATACTTCTGTGGACTGCTTTGGCAGGCATATAGTTTTTTAGATTGGGATAGTGAAACACAAGAAGAAAAATCTCCTGGGCGTGGTGTTCTGCTAGTATCTGAACGCTGGTCAGGTTCTTGAATGTTTTTTTCCCCCGTGTAATCAGACTGGTAAAATTGCTCAGAGCCTTACCAAGCATAGAGATAGATCGCAGTAGGTATTCCTGTGGGCTGTAGCTGATGAAGCACCGGCAGTCTGCTTTTTAGAAACTGTTAGAAAACTTCCAGTCTGAGTTGCCCCAGACAGGCACGCTTCTCTTCTTACAATTCTAACAGCAAAAAGGCTGTTTGTGGATGCAGGCGGTGGCGGCGTGTACCTCTGAAGGCGTTTCAAACAGTGTCTCTCTCAGTTCATGCTCCCAGTTGGTAAATGTGTGCTACCAAGGCAAACTTCTCTGTTACGTTTTGAGGAAAGCTGGCTTGTGGGCAGCTCCAGCATTCTGCATTTGCCTTGTATTGTGATCCTGTGGATTTTATGATACACAATTTCCTTTGCCTTTGCCCTCTAAATAGAAGATTATGTAATTTGAATACATTTAATTATTCTGGTGATTGATTTCTTTAAAGGATCAGTTTTTCTTGGAGCAGAATGGAAGACTAAATATTTTATCTTTGGATCTGTAAACAAGTCCTGGAGAATCAGTTTTGGGACAACTTTGGATGTAGCAACATGACAGCTGTAGAGGAGAAAATGTTCCTTAGGTGTAATCTGTATTCCTAACTAGTACAACATGAGTTAGGATAGAAAGTATTATATATCTGTGTATGACATTGTAGCTTATCCAATATAAACAGCTCTGAAAGAAACAGTTGAAGCAAAATATTTTCTAGTACGATGTGTGCTGAAATTCAGATGTGGACAAATGTGTCTTGGTCTCTTCTGCTTAATTACTTTGGAAAAACCAAAGGACGCTGCTTTGTATTTATAATGTTTGGTTATGGATTTGGGACTAGATGATCTAGTAGTTAAACAAGGAAGTGTTATTGCAAATTGTAATGTTATTGTTATAGTTCAGTGTTTCAATGAAAAATACTCCAATAACGTAACTCTGGGGCTTGCATTTCTTGAGTAGAAAATCAAGTGTCAGGACTTGTGGAATGAGTTGCATATTGCTAATTTTAGTATACACGTGTTCTGCATGAGTAATTTTTTTTTTTTTGGCCTTCTTATTTTGTAGAACCTATTTGAGTCTTGGTGTTTTGCTGGCAGTAATGACGGGTCTTTCAAAAGCTTTTCAACTTAGTGGTTTTGTAATGTTCAAAGGTGGTGGTCCAGTAGCCTGTTAGTTGTTTCTTGTTCAGAGTATATCAAATACACTTGCTCTTAAAAGGAGGTGAGCAGGTGTCATAAGCTTGGTTTGTAATTTTGAAGCTGTATTGATCTTTTCAGCTGGTGTGTCTTTCCATGTAGTAGTAGCAGTGAATGCCTTGATTTTTTGAAATGCTTATTTTCTGATACGTGGGTGTATACCTACACATATATATGTGTGTGTTTGAAAAAAGCTTGTGAGTACTGTGTATGTCAGCAAACCTGGTAAGAATAATCTGTAAGTGGGAAATAGCAGAGATTTTTGTTACTGTATGAGATGATGTAACATTCCTTTTCACCATTCAGAATTTGTATAAGTTAAAGAAAGGGTTATGCTGTCATTAAAAGGGCAGAAATCTGTACATAAATTGAAGTTTTTGCTATATAGTATGTGCTCAGAATTGCTGTTTCCCATTTCATGAGGAGAGGAAGATACTATAACAACTGATGTTTGAAATTGCTGGGAGGTTTCCCCTTTGCAAAGCAACAATTTCTTCCCCAGCCTGGAACAAGCAAAACATAAGTGAAGAGGGGTACAGCGTGGTTGCAGTGGCTGGGCAGAGCAGGGGCGGGGAGCGGGGGTTGCCCCAGTGGCGGTGGGCTCGCTGCCCTCTGTCCTCTGGTCGGGAGAAGGGAAGGAGTGGGGGCTGCCAGCAGGCCCCTCCGATGGGCCTTGGCGTGTTCCACGCTGGTGATGGGGGCACTGGTCTTCCTGGCAAGTGCAGATCGAGCAACGCTGCTGTAAAATATCCTTTGGCATACCCGTGTGGGTGGCCTGCTCACACATCTTGTTGACTCTTAGTAATTTTTTTTTTTTAAATACACTTCTTCAGACTAGATGACCGCAATTGAGAAAGTTATTTGGGCATCGTAGTGTGTGTTTTGTTCTAAGACTCAAGCAGTGGAAGATTGCCTGTTGTGAAGAGACTCCAAGCTTATTTTGGCGTGCTCAAAAGGAGGCAGGGAGAGCCGTTCTGAGAAACAACTCCACACACAATATGCCAAGCATTTTAAAGAGCTGTACTGGCCTTTATAGAATGATGGAAATGATATGTAAGTGCTTTGAAAAAAATTGAGGTTTTCCTACTTGCTGCAAAGGATTGGATTTTTTGGCTGGTGCTTTGCGTACTGAAGTAACAGTGTGTAGTATGGCATGTTAATGAACTAAGTGTGTAGTAATGTATATTATGGTAGTGACTTTTAATTTTGTAAAGCATATTGCAGTATTGTGAATCGCTGCCTCAGTCTGGAAGATGAATCCTGCTAGAGGAAGAGTATTAAACTCGCCATGTAGTCTTAGCAGACCTGGGTTACAAACTAATCTTCCTCAGTCCCACACAATTTGTGTAAGTTTGTTAGCTAACAAATCCTTCTGGTGGGGAAAAACATCTGCCTATTGTGACAGTATTATAAAACAAAGTTAGTAAGAGTGCCTGATTAGTGCCAATCTCCTTTTACCTATAAACATTTTTAATTTGTATTAAATGTGGTCTTTCCTCCTTTCTCTAGGCTTTGTCATTATCTGAGTGTTGCCCCCCTAGCATTTTATTTTCTCTTACTCTGCTTGTGTTTGTGTTTGTTTTTTTTTTTTTTTTTTTCCTTTTCCTCCAGTGCATGCTGTTTTTCCCCTCTGATTTTCTAAGTTGGACACGTGCATTGCACTTTCTCATCCTCCACTGTTAATTGACTGCCAAGAGTAAAGCTATGTGGTTCAGTGCTTTATAGTGTATAGTGGTAGGCAAAGTAGTGTTTTTCCAGAAAAGTTTTGTGTTACAAAAGGACGCAAGAGCTTGGAGATTGTCTGTTGTAACAGTAAAATACTGTGCAGAGAGAACCAGAGTATGCTGGAGTGCTGGGAATGGGATAAAGTTGTTGTAAAGCTTCTCTGCTACCTCTTCAACGAGCAGAGGTCTGTCAAAGTCAGACTGTGCTAATGTCACCGTCCTGCTTCCATTACTCATTTAGCTTTGTTTCTACCTAGCTTGGAATTTTTGTCTTGTAGAAGAACTTTGGTGTTTCCTTACAGACACATAACATAAAATTAACGGAAGATGACATTATAGTAAGATTTTCCATTGTCTGTGGCAGGATTCAGGACAGATGGCAAATTCCCTACCTGTTCATGTAGAGGTTTGTGAGGTGGCTCAGTCTTTGTGGCCATTATCTTCCAAACCTCCAGGTGACATATTTTATAACACTCAAAGCCCCTCCTCCACTTCACCTGTTGGTAAGAAGGCATGCTGTGTGTCTCTTTTGAATATTGTAGTTCTTTGAGCTCTTTTAAGAATAATGGTCAAAGACAGAGTAGATCTTGAGCAGTAGATCTTCCCCTCTTCAACTTTTTTCATTTTCCCTGTCTTTTTTCCCCTAGCACTTAAGAATCACTTCTGACTGTTCCTCTTATCCCAGCCTCAGGCAGCAGTAGGGAAGCAAAAGTAGCACACGTTTCATGTGTCTGTTTAATTTCCATGTGTACCGATCTACCAAATTCAGTAGAGCAATTAAGCTATTTTGCCAAATCATTGACTAGTATGTGTATGTATTCTTGAGTGTTGTTTATCATGTATTTCATAGTTAAATTACCATGTTTCTGTCTTCCAGACTTCTGAGGAAATACTACACCATCTGCAAAACATTGTAGACTTTGGAAAACATGTCATGAAGCAGTTCTTTGGGGAGAACTATGTTCACCATGGGGTAAATACTTTATTCTTAAAATAAATGGCTTATGCATTGTAAACACTGAAGTATTTTGGGGACCACTGAATGCCAGTAAAACAAATTAATAGAGTTTGTAGATATTTCTGAGCAACATACGTGTGCACACACACATGGAGCATTTGGATCAGAACAAAGATCCTGCCCTGTGCTGCTGAGATGATTGGATTGTTCTGTGTGGTTTGAGCTATTTCAAGATAATAACAAGAAGAGTGGTCACCTCTTTGCCCTGCATAAGGCGTGAGGTGCGAGAGAGAGAAATTTTTGGACGAGCTGCGAAACAAGGGGAGAAATCTGGTTCATGTGAATTGTCTAGGTTTCTGTGCAGTCAGAGGTAACCTTTTTCCTTGCCACTCTGTTCTTCAGGGTGGCCGGATCTGGTTAACTGAACGCCAGATACCAGAGCGGAAAAGTTATACCTTCTCCTGGAACTTGAGTTAATACAGTTCTGCCTTGGAAGGGTGGGATGTGAGACATGGGACGGGATGAAACGGGACCTTTCATTTGTGAAAAGGACAAAATGATGCAGGCTGCTTCATGCACATTAAACATCCACTGAAAGCGCTCTTTTTGATGCATTTATTTAAATTAGCTCTTGGTATTCATAGCAGAGTATTGCATGGGATTGCAGGTACAGGTCTTCATATGGATGGTTAATCAGAGGGAGAAGCTGCTGACTGTACAGTTTAGTGCACTGTTGTTAACATCCACTGAACTATGGTGTTCCGTTTTAAGATTCTCAAAGTGGGTATTAATTTTTGTGTTGAAATATGTTTTCTTTTTTACTGTTGTTTGTTTTTTTTTTTTTGTTTTTTTAATAGGAAATTATTCAACTGCCTTTAGACTTCGTAAGACAGCTCTGTGTAAAGATTCAGCCAGAGAGGCCAGGTAAGTGCCAGGGATAGCATTAGAAAGAGGCCTTCCTCAAGCTGTAAAGCATTTTCCTTTATAATAAAGTAAAAAAGCATCATACCTCAGAATATGAGGAAACATTTTTCAATATTCAGACAATGACAAGATGAAAATTTGTTGTGAAAAAATGGGTGTGTTCTAGATTTGAAGGTTGCATCTGATATTAATTTAATTAAATTGGGGAAAGGGATCCTCTGTAAGCCTCTGTGTGTTAATTCTTGAGCAAGCTTTCGCTTTGCTGTGGCATCCTTTACGAAGGTCAGTGGGGGGAGGTGAAAGATGTATCCTGAAATAATTGTTTCAATTCCATCATTTTTTTTCTCCTGGGCTGTGCAGCAGAGCTTTGGAAGGAAGACAGTTTCAGAAACTTCACACTAGCTTGTCTTGTTTTCGATGTTATTATTTCACTTGGGGCTAAGCATCTCGCATCTTATGAGTCATAGCAGTGAAGCAGTGCACAACCCAATGTTCTGGCTTCTCATATTGCTTTCCTGATAGCCGGGCACATCTCATCGCCAGGGGTTGCAGCGCTACAGCTGTGCTGCCTTACAGTTCCATGAGCATCTCTGGGATATGGGGCTGTGCTTGATTTCTGCCAGCTCACACATGGTGCTCTGGGGTCCCTATCCAGAGGTGAGGTGCAAGTAGGTTTTTCTAGTCCCCTTGGACAGGGTGGGGATTGAAGGGGACCAGGGTGCATTGACCTTGTGAAACTTCATGGAATGTGCTGCAAGACTCGAAGCTTGGCAATCTCTGACACATTCATTGTGAAGTGCTACAGAATTTGGTGTCGTTGTTGCATCTGCTGGGACTTGTGCAAAGCATTTGACACTGTCCCACCCAACATCCTTGTCTCTGAATTGGAGAGACATGGATTTGATGGGTGGACCACTCGGTGGATAAGGAATTGGCTGGGTGGTCGCACTCAAAGAGTTGTGGTCAACAACTCAATGTCCAAGTGGAGAGTGGTGACGAGTTGGGTTCCTCAGGGGGCGGTGCTGGGCCCAGCGCTGTTTAACGTCTTTGTCAATGACACGGGCAGTGGATCGAGTGCACCCTCAGCAAGTTCACCAACGACACCGGGCTATGTGTGCAGTGAGGTGTAAGCTCTAAAATGGGCAAAGAGAAGATGTCCCTGATGATATGTTCATCCTCTGTTCTCAAACATTCAGCCAGAAACTCCTGTTTTAGCAAAGTTCCTTGTAGGAGAATGTGGCATTAAACCAAAGTACTGTAGCCCGTACTTTGATGCCTTTGATCCACGAAAAAATTGAATTAATTTACATATAGTGAGCACAGGACACTCTTTATTGTAGACTTGTCCTCACCTTTGAGAAACGGTTCTACAGTGCCGGAAACCAGCAAGAAAAGCAAATAGTGTCTAATAAGTCACAAAATCCATGATGATCTGGTAGAAGTGAATGATAGAATTTAGTTTTATTTCTTAAAGTTAAATTTTGTGTCTGCAGCTCCTGGGGTTTTCTTCAGAGGAATAAATGGTGTGAGGAGCTGTCCAAGTGCTTTACAACAGGAAATCTCACTGTTCATTTTTAACAGGATTTTTTTTTTAAGTCTCAAGAAAAGAATTTCCTCTAATGTTACCTTTCATGTAAGCCTGTCTCACTTACAAAGGAAATTCTCTAATACTTCAGTTTTCTGGGTCTGAGTTGGCAAGTGGCTTTCAGCTGAATGTGGATGTACTTTTGCTTAGGTTTAGAAAAAGCAAACCCCAGCATTTTGTTGGAGAAAGGTTTCTTCTTGCTCATCCTAGTGAAGTACAGCATGTAATTGCAGGCTGACGCCTAATGAGGCTTCAGTTTCTGGTGGTTTTTTGTTTTTTCAGTTGCAATGTATTTTTCAGAATGGACATTTTTCTTAGCAATGGAAACTATAACAACATATGTATTCTGTATGTCTCTTTAGTAACACAGGTACTCGAGAATCTAGCAGTGTATATTCTTGTTAAATTTGACTTAAAATCTAGCAGACCTCTCTCTGTCCCAAAGGATGCGTGTGGAGGGAGGTTATTTAAAGGCTTTATCTCCGTAAGGCCTCTTAATCTTAGTTTGAAACTGTTTTGGTACTCCATTTCTTCTCAGGATTGTTAATCTGGAATCTAGTAAAAATGCTGTTTTTAAAAGGGTGGCCTTAGCAAAGGAAATTCTTGTTTTAAGTTGTGAGCTTGTGAGGAGGGGAAAGCTAACTTTTGTTCCTTCTCTGGTCCTTTTCACCTATGTATTATTTTGGTGTGAACGCTGGGGTGGCTAGGAGGCTGCATTCAGACAAAGGAGTTGAGTGAAGCCACTTGCAGGTTCTGTTCAGATTTACACTTCCTCCTGAACAGTTTATGATATTCCTGCCAGTTTTCACAGATTCCTCTTGACTTGAATGAGGGCTGGTAGTTCATGCAGTTTCAGTGAGCAAACATGAGATCACATCTTTGAATACAGTAGTAAGTCTCTTTACCCGCTGCCGGCCAGTGGAACGCCCTCCCTTGCTGCTTCAGGCCTCCCTCTCTCGGGATCAGCTGGCCACGAAAAGCAGCTCTTGGGCCACTCTGTATGCCCGTCGCGGTTTTGAGGACACTGAAAACACATGTCAATAATGGGGAGGGCAAATTTATGCAAGTGCCTAAGTGCTACAGCCTGCTGAACCGTGTCCTGTCTTTCTAAGTTTGTGCCTACTCCCCCACCTGGTGAACGAGACAACTACAGAGTAAAAGAAACATCCACACACCTCATTTGCTTGTGCTGGGTTTTTTTTATTGCTTTCCTCAGAGTCTCGCTGTGATAAAGATATGGACACTCTCAGTGGTTATGCAATGTGCCTTCCTAATCTCACCAGGCTGCAGACCTATCGTTTTGTGGAGCACCGGCCTATCCTCTGCATAGAGATTAAGGTACTGACGAGGAGAGGATCCTTCGGGGGGGGGGTTTGTTTGCATTTTTTAAGTATATACTGACCCAGAGCGCTTTCCCCTGAACGCAGCAGTGGGCTTAGGCAGAGCTCGCCGCTTTCACTGTGACCCATAGGATGAAACATCCCCCTCCCTTTTCCAATTCCTGACCTTTCGAAACTTGGGGAATTCCCGGGTATTACTAAGCATTTTTGTAGACCACAGCAGTTTTGTGTGTCCTGATTTCTTAAGTGAGGACAGTAAAATAATTGGGAATAATATACAGATTTTAAATGTTGGATGTTGACTTCTTTTATTTTCTTTTTATTGGGAAGAGTTGCATATTATGTGCCCTTTTATTTATATAAAGAAATACATTTATATTTATAACCTTTGTTTATTTGTTTGTTTTAGCCAAAGTGTGGCTTCATTCCTTTTTCCAGCCATATTTCACAGGAGATAAAGCACAAAGTGTGTCGTTACTGTATGCATCAGCATCTTAAGGTAAACTTTATTTTTTTTCTGTCATCCTGCTTTCCTTTGACTGTTCTGTGCTTTATTTGCTATTCCAGTCTTGCTTCCCTGTTGAAACTTGCTTAAATCTCTGGTATGACTAAAGATAGTAGGTGGATACACATCTGAGTTGCTGGGTGTGAATCTGTTTAGTGAGAGATGGAACCAGTTCTGTGGGAAGCTGGAAGCAAACAAATATAGTATTAGTCTTTGAGGACTGGTAATGCTGATTGGGTGAACTCCAATGTCAAATTTCTTTCCAAGTACAGCTCACCAAATGCATGGTGGTGTTCTGTAACTTGTAGTGGCATGTCACATATGGAATTCATTTCACTAATGTCCATTATGTGTCTGAAATCATGTAACTCTGACTTACTGTAATTCAACGTGACCTTTCTCCGTGCTTTCCACTTGTGAATGCAATTTGAGTGACTTGAGCCAAATATGACTAGAAGACCTATAGCAGTCATGATGAAATTTGCATTCGAAGGGTTTTAAACGTCATGGGACTTTTGAAGACAGGATGTTAGTGCCACACACCTGGCTACTAAAAAAACTGAGCAGTTATTCTAGTAAGAGCGATTAACAGTAGTGCTGTGGGTTTTCACAGGTAGCGAACGGAAAATGGAAGCGACCAAGTAAATATTGCCCACTGGATCTGTTCTCAGGGTAAGGAAGTGTGTAACTTGATTCTGGGGTTTTGCCAGAAAAAAAATCTGTGTTACAGATTTCTCTCAGATTATTTTGACTTTCACTGTAGTATTAAGGATGACCAACACCTGCTTGTCTGACTTTTACGGTGAATGTTTCTGCTGCTGTGTATCTCTCTACACCTATTTCAGGAATCAGAGTTGCTTATTAATGTACCTGTGCCTTTTGCTATGTAACATTAAACCTAAGAGCTGATTAGTTTACTCAGATTTGAAGCTCTAATTACAAGCAGTCACTTTGTCTTTGCAGTGACTTCAGCCTGAGTAACATACTCAATGGGCGTGTTCACTGGAGGTGCCCACTTCTGATTCCGCAGAGCCTTCTGGGCACGGGTGTAAACATCTAAAGGCTGTGATAAAACATTGTTGAATTATTTTTTTTTCCCTAGAAATAAACAGAGAATGCACTTTGCTTTGAAGAGCTTATTACAGGAGGCACAGAACAACTTGAAAATATTTAAGGTAAGCAATCAAATCTCTCTGCTTCCTTTTCTTGCCTTGGCTTTTAAACAATTTGACTTCAGCATCTCTGAACAGTCAGGATCCTCCTTCAAACCTGCCTGATCAGCACCATCCCTATCGGACCCCACCAAAAGAAGAAAACAGGAAAATTCTTAGTTAGGTTTCAAGTTAGGGCAGGTAAATAATAATTTCCCACAACTAAGTAGTCTGAAAGACTTGCCAAGGAACAACCAATAGAAAATGACTTTTAAAGATGATGAAAGTTTTACAATGTTATGTGCTTCGTCAGGAGGAAGAAGACAGAGAACTTTGCATGTTGCTGCAAATAATTTTTTTTTTTTTAATTACAGCACTCATGCAGGCCAAATGCACAGCGTGCCTCACTCGAGGAAGTAAAAAGTTACCGTTTCTATGGCATTAAAGTAGGAAAAATAGAAAGCAATAACTGATGGGTTATGCAGATTTTCAGATTAATTCTACAAAATAAGATTCCCGACAATTTATTTCTAGTATTAAACCAACTATTTGAATTAAACCTGTATGAACAGCCCTGTTTTTTCTATTAGTTCAGGTAACTATCACACCTTTTCTGTCCCTTTTTATAGCCTTCCGTTTGTCAGTCTGGCTTTTGAAAGCAAGTTGTTTCACATGGTGCTTTTTCACTGTTGATATTGTTCAGAAAGAAGTGATAGGAAACTGCGCTAAGTATTGGTTCACTTTTATTGTTCTGACTACTTGCAGTTGATTATGTTGGGAAAGTAGCACTTGATTTAAATGGGCTTTTTGGTCCTAATTTAAAGGTTGTTACCTGTTGTGTCTGATTAAACTTAAGAGGGCAAATTTGTAAGAGATTGGAGCTGTATTTGTATGCAGACTGTTAAACTAATACACTTTTCTCTGCTATATGTCTTAAAATACTAAATCTGATGCTTTAGCCAAGTATGAGTAACTGAGTAACTGGATTTCAGGAAGTGCCTAAACTATTTTTTTTTTTTTTTTTTTTTTTTTTTTAATTTGCAGAACGGGGAACTAATTTATGGCTGTAAAGATGACCAGGACTGTGTGTCTGACTGGAACGAACTTGCTTGTCACTTAAAACCTTTCTTTTTTCCTTCCAATGGGCTGGTCAGTGGACCACACTGTACAAGGACAATTGTTAAAGAACTAATCCATGTTATAACTATGACGCTACTAAGTAGTACCGATGCCTGCAGGGCAGGTGATATGAAGACAGTTCCCGTTTCACAAGGAAGAAGCTACTGTGAAGCAAGTGCTTTTAATAAGGAGCTAGTAAGAAATGGTAAGAAATAATTTCTTGAGTGTTGTCAGTAATTAACTGTTATCGTGTAACGATTTGGGTCTTTGCCTCTCATTTGCTATTTAACACTGATGTGAGAATGGAAACAGTGGAGTTTGACATTTAAAAAATGAATTTTGAGTTGCATAACTGCTAGATAATTGTTTTTAATATAACCTTGTAGCGAACACTTTTAGCCCTGTGCCTACTGACAGGGATAGAAGTAAATTCAGACAGTGGTAGAGGAAAAATGGAAGGGAGTAGCAGTTTGAGCTGATAACCACTGTGGGTATTTCAAATGAGTGGGGAATTCTTACGTTGTGTGTGATGAAGTCTGGCTGCTGTGGTTGGTTTGTACCATGGCACCTGTTCCTTGCCTTTCCCTGCTCTTCCTGGCAGCTCTCACCAGCTAGGGTGTAGCTCATTTTCTTTTCTGTACTACTTCACTCCTGGTAAAGAGACAGGTATGGAATGCTGGAGGAAAAAGGAATGGGAAGTGAGAGTTGAAAAACTGTAAATAATCTTAATTCCTCAGTGCAAGTTCTGTAAAGCGCTCTGTTTTTGAGGAGGATCTTTTTCATTGCTGGTTGGTTTTGTTGTATTGTGTCGGAGAAAGAGCTGCCTTACAGAAATGTGGGGTTTGGTGGTTTATTTTTTTCAATAATTTATAGAGTTGTGTACCAAGTGGTTTATTCTGCAGTGATATACGTGCTGTTTAAATGTGCAGGTAAGTACACGGACCTGGCATGTTTAGTGTTTGGAAACTGAGGTGTTTTGGGGTTCCCCCACCCCACCCATGATTGGTCTGAGGAGCATTTGGGTTTGCTTTGTGAGCAAGCACATGTAATGGCAAAATGAAGCAAAGACAACACTCATGTCTGTCTTATTTGAAAATACATTTTCTTCTAGGTAAACATAAATTGGAAAGCTCTGGCTTACCGAGGGGTTGTCTCCTTTATAAAACCCTTCAGGCTCAGATGCTTGACATGCTGGATATTGAAGGACTCTATCCTTTGTACAGTAGAATTGAACAGTACTTAGAGGAATTTCCTGAAGAAAGGTAAGACTGGATGTTTTTTCTCTTCAGTTCTGATTACGTAGGCGTGCGGACAGGATTGGTTCTGTGCAGACTCTTTCCCTTGTTTTGTTGTGTACAACCTTCCTTCGTGGTGTTGCATATTCTGAATTTCTAACTTGAAATGCCAGATAACATAAAAGATGAGTTTTATTGTTAAAGTTTTGATGTCAGTCACTTGGGCCTGAATTTTTAAGTAATGATTATGGGAAGTTCACAACAGGGCAAGAGAGAAAAACGCCCCGTTCTGTAGTAGTGGGTGTTGTGCATCTGAGGAAGGATGGAGGAAAAAAGGGTGGTTGGTTTTTCCTGCCTTCAGTACTACCAGGGCTAGGACTGTGTCTGCAGTAATAGAGCTGCTTTCACAGTCATTCTCAAGTCTATAAAGGCCTGCCTACAACCTGCCCTTAAAAACCCCAGATTTGATAGCCGCAGTCCAGCCTGTGCCTGTGAGATCTTACAGAAGGCGGGAGCGGGTGAGGGCCAGCGCCTGCCGCTGTCCAGCCTGCCCTTCTCGTGTGAGATCAGCTCCCAGTGCCCGACTGTGACCCACGTCACTAGTGACCAAATCATACCCGAGCCACAGGAATCGTTCTCTTTGGGTATTTCTTGCCCGGTGAATAAACGCTGGGCACTGTAAGCTGCTACACTTGTTTTCAAAGCTTATTAGTTGCAAGAATAATTGCTATGAAGAGCCTTGCTTTGGATGCTGCTTGCATTCTCTGGCTGTAACTTGCCTGTAATTCTGCCGTTGCTCACACGAGGGCACTCCAGCTTCACTTGCAAGATGTCGCTGCCAGTGCTCCTTCAGCTCTTTGGACTCGAAGGGTTTTCTTCTGGGCAAGGGCTTGGCTTAAGCTCTGCCTAAATCACTTGCTTGTCTATTTATACGTTATTAAACAAATAATTTGAAAAAGTATTCTTCCATCTGTGGGGTGTTTGTGCACTGCAAACCCCGCTTTTGGGGGTTCAGCATTGCAGCAGGTCAGGTATTTAAGATGGGAAGGAAGGAGACCAAACAAACCACCCCTGTGTTTGCACACACCATGGAGGTGGGGGCAGAGCCGGGCCTTGTCAAAGCCTTGTGTACCCCCGCTGTTTGCAGCAAGGCTTCTGGGAGTTCTGCAAACAGTTACAAATTTTGAAACTTACTCATTTTTGCAAAAAATACTGTTCTTGTAGTGATACACAGGTGGCAGTTGATTAAAAATGATTCATCTTTTTAAAAAAACCCAACTCAAATCCTAAAAAGCAGCAAATCTTGAATGATATGAGAATAACGGGGACTGGTCACCGTGTTAGATCTCTGGATATTAACCTGTTGCCATGTTTATTGTTTGTTTGTTGTAATCTGAGTATCTGGGCTGCTGATGAAAGATCTCACTGAAAACCAGTAAATCATCTTGGCTGCTTGTAAATCTTCTTTTAAAATTTATTTAGAAGTACATTACAGATAGATGGACCTTACAATGAAGCATTTTACGAGAAGCTGCTAGATCTTTCGACTGAAGATGATGGGACAGTAGCATTTGCATTAACAAAGGTACTTCTCCTGCGCACGCTGTTGAAGGTCGTTTAGTCTGTCACTGTTAGGAAAGCTCTGGCGTTAGTGTCACCGCGGGTTGTCAGGTTCTGAACTGTGCCATGGGGTACCTACGGCAGAAGCAGTTAAGACCAAACACGTTTAGCACCAGATCCTGAGAGCAGAGTGAAGCTGCTTGTTTCCTTTATAGACTGAGGAAGCACGTGTGAGAACTGGTGCTGTCTGGCCTTCGAGAAAAGTATCTGTAGGAAAAAAACCCCACGATTCTTATATAGGATGCTGTAAAACCACTTGCTCCTGCTAACCATCTGTCACACAGAGCGTTTCCAGCTCTTAAAGTACCAACATACAAATACACTGGGTGTAGTAATGCCTTTCGTAAGAGCAGTGTGCTGTACTAAAGGCTGATATAAGAGAAAACTTATATTATTTTTGTGTTGTACAGGTGCAGCAGTACAGAATAGCAATGACTGCTAAGGACTGCTCCATCATGATTGCCCTTTCACCCTGTCTACAAGATGAGTGGTAAGAGACACCTGCTTCCGCATGACTCCTCCGCGTTTAGAAACTGGAGATATGTTTGCACAGTTCAGTCAATTCAAGTCACTTTTTAAAAGGAGTGGGTTGTTTCTTTCTTTTTTGGTGTTTGCTGTTGTTGCTTTTTTGGGGGTAGAGGAGGTGTCCTCTCATATTTGGTGTGAGCAGGCAGAGTTCTGATTTAAGACATTTGGGACAAATGTCTGTTTCTGAAGAGTTTTAAGTTAATAAAAAGGGTTAAGGTTTTATATTTACTCCCTTCTTGAAATTTGAATTGACTGTTTGTAGTAGATGTACGTGGTTTTAACCAGGTAGAATTTTTCTGCCTCACGAGAGATTTTTCAAGATGACTTGCCTTTAACTGCCTAATTAGAATAAAACCATGGCAGCAATCAAGAGGTGACATCTTTAGCTTTGCCACAATATTACCCATTTTGACTTGTGTCAGCAATAATAGTCCGCTTTTGGGTAGGGGAGTTTCCTTTATCAAAGCCTTGTTATTTTTAGAGAGTATTGTTTTCTGCACTTGTCCTGCACTTCTTGAACATGTTGATGATGGAGATGACTGTATTAAGTCCTGGATCCTTTACTATGCTTGGACACTAGTTCTGATACTAAATTTGAATTACCTTGCACCTAAGTATAGGAGTTCCAGTGATTCTTCCCACTTCTGTTAGTTACTAAGGCTGTTGGTTTGTACACATACTGCCTAGAAACAGATTAGATTTACTAAATATGAAGACACTGGAACTGAGAGTAATGTTTTGACTTAAGCTGTGTGGAAGCTGAAAGAAAAACAACTGGAAGAGGCACCAGCAAGTTCACTTTAAGACTGGTTAAGCTGGAGCTGTACTTTCCGAAATGCTACATTAGCTGAAGTTTATTTTCTTAGAACTTTTATGGGAGCCTAAGATAAACATTAGAGTCACTTTTGCAAGGGGATGCGGGCTACACAAATAAGAACTGTTGACTTCAGGGACTCAGCTGTGCAATATGGTTTTATTTTCCAGCTCTGAGCAAAGACCTGTGGTACTGACATCCAAATCAAGATTCACCTTTTCCGTTTCTGTCCTGGACCTCGATCTAAAACCCTACGAAAGCATTCCGCATCAGTACAAACTTGATGGCAAGATAGTGAACTATTATTTGAAGAATGTACAGGCCAAAGATGACCCAGTTATGTCCAATCTCTTCAAGGAAAATGAAGACTGCACATTAGTTCTCCACAAAGTGTAACCGTTTCCTTAAGGTTATTTTTATTCAAACACATTAGAAAGTGAAAGATTAACGGAATACAATTATGGTGATTTTTTTTTTTTTCTATTGTGTTCAGTGCATTTTTCAGCTGTGAATGTTTTTGCTTTAAGAAATTATTCCTAATTGGTATGCCTTTTCAAAGACATGGGATAGCACTAAAACATGCATTTGCTATATAACCTTAATGAATGTATTTAATATGACAGAACAGATAATGTGCCATATCTTGGAACTAGAGGACAGATCAAATTAATACTAAAAATCTACTTCCTTAGAATTGAAAGAGCACAGAATTAAAGGTTTCCTGAAGTATTGCACTAATGTAGAAAGCCTAGTTACTAACAAGAGAATCGCCTTGGAGCTCGTGCTTTGAGTCTCACTCACACCTGATAGGAAGAGGGGAACTCTGACACAACCTAACAGAAAACTTTAGCATTAAGTCCACTGACAATAAAACTGAAGTGGCTACTCAAGTGTTGCCAATCTGTGGACCTGCCGTGTTACTGCAGAACGCTTCAGTACGAATGCATGAGGTTAAGAACACCAGGCTGCCTCCAGGAGTTTTGTGCTCACCTTGGTATCTACCTAAAGCTTCTGAAGCAAAGTGAAAAGGGTTAAAGGTAAGCGTCTTTGAGTTTTATGTGATAGCTGGGCTTAACTCGTCTGACATACTGGACTTTTACTTTCTATACATTTTATGCTGCTATTGAAGGTGAAACCACAGCTTGCTTTTACCTAATTTAAATTGAGCTATAAGAATAATATATTCTGAGTTTTACAGATTATTTCAGGTCTCTCAGATGGTGTCAAACGTTGGCATTATTTCACTGATATCCCTCATACTGTGTAGCATGAGCAGCTTTCAGGCTCGTTCTTAAGTGACACACAAAAAAGGTGACAGTGTCTGATTGGCTGGAGGTGCAGGGGGGCACCTTCTCATGAGCTAAGCTTGTGTCACTACTTCAGCAATTTAATAATGGCTTTACTGTGTAAACATTGGTGTGTGCAGCTGAAATCTTGTGAGCTGGTGCAGTAAAAGCTATCGTCAAGGAAGTTCCTGAGTTGGAGACTGAGGATACATTCAAAACTGCGGGTAGTACGATAAAATCTACAGCCACTTCTCCCCTATCTTGGGGATCACAGACCCTGAAATGCGCAGAGACACTGATCCAGCTATCGGGAACTGCTGCTACCTGGATACCATGTGTGCTTACAGGCCATGGTTTTCCAAACAGTGTAGGTTAACATTGAAAAAATATTTTAAAAATATTTGAAAAATTTATATTGGGTTCTCAATATAATGTTTGAATTGTTCCATTTTACCTGCAATTCCAAAAGCAAAACCAGAAACCCCTGTCTATTGGCACAACTCAGGGAAGAAACAGGAACAAGAACATATCAGCCCTCAGGCAGCAGCAGGGCTCGGCCGTGTGACCCGTGGCAGCAGTGTCGCGGTGGCCAGTGTGCCTTCCTTCGTGGGCAGGGTGGGCTGCTCTCACTGAAATGTGATACTACAACTGTGCAATAAGCTGGTAGTCGACAGTGGTTGGTAATCAACGACCCCTTCTTTCCAAAGAGAACCGGGGAGCGGGGGGAGGGAGAGCACTGATTTTAAATCCAGAAATCCTCCACCTGTAAGGCAAGGGGAGGAAGGAGGGACTATCCCCAGCTGGAAAGTTGTCAGGTTTTTATGCTGTAACTTCTACTTGCATATGAAATGTGGGTAAAGTGTATGTGCTGACCAAACAGTTTAATTTTCACACAAAGAGGAGCTAAAAGTTACACAAAACTGGCTAAATCAGGAACGTGCTAGTGGATGAAGTAGCAATGAATTTTGCCTGTCTACTGGATTCCAAACTTGAAATCAGGTCTATCTAACAAGATATTTTATTAGAGAGTTGCTGTTCATCAAAACTTAATCTCTGGCATTGCTCAGCAGTAGATTCTCACAGAAACCAGTCTCATCTGTCAGTTGTTCCTGACCTACCAGAACAGTAAGAGGCTTATTTCAGTGGTCAAATAGTAGATTATTAAAATTATGGTATATAAACATACCGTTGCTTTAGTTCTTGATTTTTTTCCACCTATTTCACCATTGCCATGAAGTTTTGTCATCACTTATAAACGGAGCAGGCAGTTGTACAGCTTGCAGGGTTAGAGCAGCTGTGGACTTGAAAAGGGAATCTCTTGGCATCACGTGAGAGCCCGCAGCTGGCGGGTTTGGCCCCTTGATTCCCAGGGCAGTGCCTGTGGCTGCCCAGCCTGCTGGGCTGCCAGGGGCAGGGCAGGGGCTGGCGAGGAAGGCGGAGGGTTCACAGGTGAGCTAATGGTACAGGTGGTGGAAGTGAAGGAAGATTACAAGACATCAGTCTAATCTGTTTTGTTTCTTCAGGGATGAATGTATGAAATGTGATGCTTTTATAATGTGTTACTTACTAGAATATCCCCCTAAGAGGAAATCACAAGGAAGTGCTGCAGTGAGCAGTGGTTAACTCATCCATCTCCCTGCAGAGGTGGAGTGGTCCTTTCTTGGTTAGTTTAATGCTGTCTCTACTCAGCACTTACATTTTTTTAAAGCATACTATGTCTGTCTTTGAAATCCTCAAACTGTCTACTTCCACCCTAAGTTAACAACAAAACTATTTAACTCTTTGTTCTAGGAGTCTCTTACTGTTCTCTTGTCATTTTAAGATCACTGTACTTTTACAGAGCTGTGAAATGAAATGGATTTTTATGGACTTGATTTTGACAGTGCATGATCTTTTAACACTTTCCAGGTATCTAGAAAATGTTAAGAAGATAAACCACTCTGGTACATTAATGATTCAGAAAGATAAATTTATAATGAAATCACTCTGTACATGTAACTATTTTATTTGGCATTTTTGTATTTAAATGGCTGTATTTATTTTCATGTCATGACAATTTATATATAACGTGCCATAATTGTACAGATAGCATGTTTTATGAGTATGGTTTCTAAATGGAAAATAACTTAATGTTTATATTCAATAAAATTATAGACTGTGTAACACAATATCTTAATTAAAACTACTTTTGAAATTGCTACCTGTTGTAAGTCACGCTGGTATTCATTTTTGCAAGGCAACCACTTTGATCAGATTCTCAATGGCTGACTCAATCCCAAACAGAAGCAGCATGCTTCGGAAGCCGGCGGGTGCATTTTCAATAGCTGCTGTCTTCAGATCCAAGACTGCAAAAAAAAAAAAACGTACCGATTATTAACATTAATTTTCAAACAGTTGCACTACTATTGAAAGTGGCTGTCAGTGTTGCATTTTGGGATGAAAGAGGCTGGCTGCTGTCTAGAAGAGGAAGACGTTTCGTAAACCCTTTTAAACTATACAGGAGGTAAAGCTTAGCTGTTTGCTAAATTGGGATTTCTTGGCCTCGTTGTCCTCTGCAAGGTGTATTTCCATTTTATCTAGTTATGTTGGCCAAAAAGGGGATGGGTGTTGTGCTCGAAATCTCAGAAATGGTCTCTGGGGTGAATGACATTACCTTGCTCCGGTACTTTAGTCAGGAGGTCCAGAACAGGTGTAGTTCTCCCTTCTTCATCTATACGTATCTTCCAAACAACCATTAATTCAAACCTGCATCATGTGCACAGAGAAGTTAGTTAAGGGGTAACTAGGCAACTGTCTTTAAGGTTCCTTCAAAGCAGAAAGTGCAGTACTTGGGAGGTTCACACTCACTACTCTTAAACAGAATTCACCTCAGGTAATGCAACTTGCTGATCTCTGTATCTGGGAACCAAAAACGCTTCTGTTTGAGCTGAGGAAATTTTCAAATTTTCAACCTGAAGGACGTTTTCCCCTGGTTCTTGCCTGTGTCTGTTGTGAATGGTAAGTTCCCAGAGTGCAGTGGTAAAAAGTAAGACAGAGAGAAAACAAAAGCTGGCATCCCCCTGCCCCCCCAGCACAGTCTGAAAGGGAGGGAGGTCCTTGCAGAAGAAACGTTTGCATCAATTGCGATGCTCTCAGTCTGGAATAAAGTCCACCCCAATATCATTCATGGCCTTTTCAAAATAATGCACAGGGACAAATATATCCAAGGCCTAGATTCCTGCATTTATTTGCTTTTAACTTAAAAAAAAAAAAAAAAAAAATCTTAAGCATCATTACTCCTTCAAGAGTTGTTTTGGTGTGGTTGCAAGGCTAATGCTTATTTCCAGCTTTGACAGTGAGATGCCTACACCCTACTAAGTGAATAATTAAGCCTTTGGCTTCTGCAGGGAAGAGTCTGCAGTCAAGCACCCACGAATTGCTCTAGAACGACATTCATTGTAGATTTGCTGCTTTGTAACACCCCAGCTGTTTCACTGCATTTTGTATCCCCTGCCCTGCTTTTAGGGTCATCCCTTACGGCAAGGAAGGCTTTCCTCAGCCAAAGCCCATCTGCATGATAACAAGTCATTGTAAGGAGGAAGTTCCCTTTCTCACTACTGTTTGACCAATCATGATTTAAAAGTTTCCTTTAAGTAGGATTTGTCAGCTTTTTGCCACTTTGTTGTTAAAAATCCTTCAAGAATCTGCACAGCTTGTTCTGTCATTTTGCAAACAAATTAATAGGCAAGTGTATTCTCTACCAACCCACTGAAATGATTGTTAAATTCTTGTATTTCATGATAGTGGGGGGAGAGAGAATGTGTAATGGAACTTGGCACCTCCAGCATGAAGAGAAACTGTAAAATAAGGAGTTTATTTTCAAACTGATGGTCTAACAACACTTCATTGCAGCAAGACCAGGTTAAATCACTTGGTTTTAAAGCAGCAGATCTGGCACCCCAGGGCTGAGACAGCATGATCTGTTAGTTGCTAGTTCCACAAATAAATATGCTGGAGGGAGCTCTGCTTCATTACCTGTTGTTTCCATATAAATTAGTGCATGTTATAATGAAGATGTAATAGGAGAAGGGAATGGTCCCTTCACAAAATAGTGACTTTTCTTGGTCCTTAAGGAATTCCTGATGGTGATAATTATATTGTCTTACATGAAACTTCTAGGATTTTTTTAACTCTGTTTAAAACCCCAAACCTACCAGAACATGTCTAGCAGGGAGCCCAAACAAACCCAGCATGTGGTAGAATAGTAATACTAACTAGCAGCGAACAGATCCCCTCCATCTAACCCATTGCCTTCCAAAACAATGGAAAAATACAGCTACACTTCCCCTCAGTACCAGGGTAACTGCAACTTCCTTTCCATTCTGTCATGGTGAGACACCCAAGGAGCTGTGCTTTCCTTCGGTGACTTGTGATCATCACGCCTCCTGCAGCAGGAGGAAGCAGGAGCTGTAAGTGACAGGCTGCCACCCCTGCCCTGCCCTGCCCTGTGGGAAGGGAAAAAGCTAAAAAGCTCCTTCACAGCTCTACCACGGCCCACGCTTGCACAGCAGGAGCGATGCTGGCCTCAGCCACCCGGTCCCCCGGTCACATAATGCAGAAAGAAAACCGAGATGGAACAAATCCAGGTGAATCCAACATGTTCTCTGATGCAAGAGAGGGAAGATGCATCCCACATTCCCAAACTTTGAATTTAGACTCTTTGTTATACGAGCTTCCAAAACCAAGATAGTCATAGATTTTTTTTTCTTAAAATCCAAATTAAAAGCCTGCTAAAGCCATTTATTTTTTCCCACCTAGCTTTTTAAAAGACTGGCTGCACAGGGCAGCAATATAATTGACTTATCTAACAAGGCCACGTGCACGTGGCCTGGACATAGATTTTTGGGGCTTTTTGTTTTTTCTCCAGTGTTTTTAATGTGTGGTTATAGCCCTAAAATGGAACACACTGTGTTTAGAGCAAAACTGTTTAGATGTAAAACTCTGTGTTTAGTAGGCGTTATAAAGCAAAGAGTGACTTAATTTTCAAGCGGACCGATTATGTCTAGGTTGCCAATATGCATTTCACAATCCTTTATCTACATAAATCAAGAAATGTATCTATTGGCTTACCCAGAAAGTTTGGGGCTCCTTAGAATTATATAATCTCCCAGCACTCCTTCCGGAAGGGCCACAATGTTGGGGTATTTGGCCTGTGAATAAAAAGGTTCAAAAGGGTATAAATCAAGTCAGACAAATCCAAGTAGACAAAGTAGTTTCTAGCTAGAGCCTTCCAGTTGCAGTGGACTTGAATGGGTTGCCACTTCTAGCTTGCGTTTTTAATAGTTAAGAGTAACGATACCAATTGTTTAAAGTTCTGATATGCTTTCTAAGGGTTTTTTTTGTTTGATGTTTGGTTTGTTTTTCTTTTTAGTATCATTCATGTGATATCAAGAGATACTTAAATTTGGTCACCTCAGAGAAAAAAACAGTATTGTGCACCTGTGCAAACAGGCCTTAGAAGTCCTTATGCAAGATGTAGGAAACCTTGAAAGAATATTTTTAACTAAGTTCTATTAGTACACTGTTTTGCTACTCTTTGAGAAACTGGATCACCAAGCTCCATACAGTGCTTTGAAGGCACAAGGTAATAAAGTCAATGAGATACCAAGATAACCACTATTATCAAAATATAATGGGACAATGGAAACATGATAATACATATAAAACTACTGACTACTATTAAATTTCCCTGTTACTGAGAACATGAGCTATTTTCAATTACTACAATGTGCAAAGATTGATCACTCTTCCATTACTTTGTTAGTGCATCTGATATTTTACAGCCTTCAACATGTGTATCTTGAATTACCCAAGATCCATAGCTTTTGCTATAGGTATTTTAAAAACCTCTAAAAGAAAAGCAGACTAGTAGCTAGGTATGGATTCTTTAGAAGTTACGCAGTATGTAAGGCGACAGGTTGCTTGGAGTATGAGGAGATGCAGATACATCAAACTACTGAGAAAGAACACAATTACTGCATCCTGCAGGGGCGTGCAAAAGAAAACAGAATCTAGGCACAGCCTGTTATCGTGAAGACTTCAACACCGTTACTTGCTTGTACTGTCTTATGTACTGGATACAAAGCCATGTTCCAAAAATTGCCGTTTATAAGGTGTGAAAAATCTGTCAGCCTAAATCATTCTCCAGTGCTCACAGGGCAAGTGGTGTGTCTTACAGAAAAGACGCAGGAGAGCTTGTCTTTGTGAAGCACTGGAGAAACTGAGTTGGGTTTTACAGATTACGCCTCATCTGGCAGACTGAAATTCCTACCAGATGTGACCTTGCTCTGGTTTAGGAATTTATGACAAACTGAAGGGGTTTGTGCAGAATGCCAAATGACACAAAACACATGGAATTTGCCAGTTTTAAATTCTACAGAGTATTTAGTACTGTATTTACCGTGGGGGATAAAGGCCACGATCTATCCTGGGAACAAAGACACATAAGGGGCAACAAAGTGCACAGTAGTTACAGCACGAGAACACGGCTGATCTAAGGTCTCTCGCCTAGCAGAACAGGGATCTTTTTTCAGCTTCGCACCTTGTGGAATTATGTTCTTCTGATGACAAAATAGAACACGTTTTTCAGGCTTTCCTTCTCAGTAACCCATGTCTCTGATATTCATTGTGTGCCTTCATTTGTCTCATATCATAGGGCTCAGAGCATCTAGTGATCTCTTTAGCTCCAGGTTACAAATCCTAGAAATTTAGGATTAGCTTGTATGGGGTGAGCTCAATTATTCAGTTCCTCATTTACAAGAGATCCCAAGTTTACTAAACTGAGTCATGTCTTATCTTCATCTGCCTATACTGAGACCTTTGGAAATCACAAGAGAAAAGAGATCAAAGGAACTAGGTAAGAGTCCCAATTTTCAAACCACTGTGAAATGCACCCGTGACTTGTTTGGGAGCCTCTCAGCAGCTGCCATAATCAATGCATTTACCCCCAGCTAGTGGGTGGTATGTTATGTTGTACAGAAAGCAGAGGTGTCTCAAGGAAATCTCAAAGTGTATGATTTTTCTGTTGTCTAAAAGCTTCCTTGTACCTGGAAGTGAGTGCAGTGGTGAGTCCAGCTTCTCAGCAGGAAAGATCATCTCTCAGCAATCCACAAAACACACAAAAAGCCAAACCACAGATACCTACAGCTCTCTCCAGGTGTATCACATGCAAAAACTGAAGTCATAACAGGGGCATGAAGCAGTACCTGGCCCAGACCCACATGAGGCGTCTGCCCCTCTCACTTAAGGGTGACTCCTTGGAGCGATCACACGACAGAAGTGGGAAACAAATCTACCGCACCCAGGAATAAAAGCAAGCAATGTTAAACACTCACAATTCAGGGAATAAAAACCAGGAAATGCAGTCACACAACCTACCTTTCATATTCCACATATTAAATGGAATGTCTGTATCCCACAGGTAAAACGTGGGGATCTGGCACATAAACGACAAAGCAGGCACGCAGTGTGCGCAAGCTGCGGTGGTGGGTACTGCATCACCGCCTCATATTCTCTGCGGTGCAACTTTTTAAAGTTTCCCCAGGGAAAAAAAACAAAGCAAAGCCGAGCAATAACCAGGGTAACAGAACAACCCGATCCACTGAGAGGTCTCTTGGGAAAGACAGTAACTCCTACGGGATCTCGTAAAGTGGACACCGGGCAACTGGAAGATATCACATCAAGTAGCACGATACCAGATGGGAAAGATCAGCTACAACTGCATTAAGCAAAACCTGACTTTAATCAAGAAATATCTTTCCTCAGATGGCTTTTTAATGTTGGTTTATGATCAAAACCAAAAGCCCATGCTATTATTACTTCTGGACGGAAATAATTTTTCCAGCTCCTTCAGGAGTCCAAGCAGGGAATCTTATGGGAACTTTTGTCTAAACCAGAAATAGCATCAAATCACAAAGGGACGACCATCACGATGGAATACACAGTCTTCCCTTTCCTCCATGACACATTGTACACACATACACACGCACAGAGCCATCCAAGTAAATACACTTGGAGTATCTATTTTTAAACAAAATATATTACTCTTCAGCTGTTTAAAATTGCATTGTGATTTTCTGCATACTAGAACTCTTCTAAGGAAAATATTTTAAGTTATTGAGCTTAAGAGCCATGGCTAAGAATGCAAGGCAAAATCGGCATGCCAGAAGCTGTGCTAAAAGCAAACAAATTCGCTTTTAACCCACTTACCAAGAAAATATGCTACTCTGCTCCTAGATGGAACCATAGTTCACACTTACTACTCATTTTGAACCTGGCATTCCGTAAGAAGGACAGTATATAAAGAGTGCTAAGCAAGTCATGCTGCTATGAGTCCCTCCACAAGTGTAAGCTATTTCTAAGTTTACCAAAGACACTACACTTCTGAGTGATTTATATCTATGTTTTGCTCAGCTAAGACCACAGTACTGTCCACTGAAGTCATACCCATCAAGGCGCTAAATAACAACATCATCATAATTTGTATTTGAATTCCTGAAGTTATTTGCAAAAATGATGAAAAGTCTACATACTGTAGATATACGTGATTAAATTCCAGAAGCATTCAACAATCAAACCCACTGCCACCAGCCTGCTACCCACCCTGAAAATTGAGGTCCAGCCTGTAAGCAGCCATCGGGTGGGAAGCCATCCCCGTGGCCTGCCCCGCGCGCCCCGGGGGAGGGGGCCTGAATTCAGAGGAGCTGTGCTCTCCAACAGCCTAACCCTCTGGTTTTAGCAGCAATCTGATTTTTGCATTACAGCAGTCAAACTCAGATAACCACAAAAGGAATAATTTTTCTATTGCCATGATCAAGTCCTACAGATACGTAAAACCAGCAATCACCAGGCTACAAAATGAAATCAAGTGGAGCAATTACATTTTTGGAAATTAGTTTGTATTTCTACTTTTCCTAAGCCTTCTGCTAGCCCAGATAACCTGAGTTCCATTTATGAGATCTGGCCTTACAATTTATCTGTCTTTATGCACAGTGCTAAAATATTAGGTGCTAACTTCACCAAGAACTCTTTATCTTCAAGTCACAAACTCTGTTAATCTGTCATAAATGGGACATCACATATACATTTTCAATTATCATTCTAGAAATGTAATTTAAGTTGCTTTGATGAGTTTCATTTTTAGATACTGGACAATACATTTGTTAATGCATTTCAATTAACTAAAATGTTTTATCCTGTAAGGTAGCTGTCACCAACATGAATATATAACACGGATTTATATGTCCCTGTGTTTTTAAAGCACAGTGGCAAGCCCTAAGTCAGTGAAAAATTTCTCCAAGAAATTTAACTTTTCTGGTATTTTCTATTAATATTCTGCATTATCTAAAATCTGTATTTGGTATGTATTGAGTACATTACACAACATTTACACACGGTCTTTCGCTTTAAACTATGTAATAAGCAAACAGGACAAGAATTAGAAGATGCAGTGAACCACCAATCTGCTGTTCTTCCCTTGTGCAGACATTTACTGTGTGTATGTACATCTATGATTAACAGTTTTAAACTATTTTTGTCAAGGTTTTGGGTTTTTGTTGTGTTTTTTGTGTTTTTTTTTTTTTTTTTTTTTTTTTTAAAAAAAAACCAAACGAATTCCACTACAGCAGTAGAGGAACATTTAGGAAGTATCCAGAGTTACACCATTATTGTCCACTGATACTTGGAGCAATGCTTGTGGCTATTCCCTGACTCAGAGCAACGCAGAACTGGGATCTCACTAAAAATCAAAATTTCATTTTAGTTTTGAGGGCAAGGAACTTTATCAGCATCCCAGTTATGGTAGTATCTCATAACAACATGCCTCGGGAATCATTGTCCCACTCCTTGCTTGACGTGTCTCTATCCATCACAGGACTTTGTGACAGATGTTCACAGAATACCAGAATCATTTAAGTTGGAAAAGACCCTTAAGCTCATCGAGTCCAACCGTTAACCTAACGCTGCCAAGTCCACTGCTAAACCATGTCCCCAAGTGCCACAAAAGTGTGCAATTAAAGTAAGAAATACAATACATAATTGCTAAGGTAGCATTCTACAAATAATTTTAATACCTAGGTTCAAGAAAAAATATCTCATTCTAACTTCCCTCTATACTAAAACATATGGAACATTAGAAACACTTCACATAACA